TTCGGGCAGTGTCAATAATTAGTGTATCAGCTGCTGAACGCGACATAAGCCGTGGCGTTAATATAATACTGAATTTGTGTCAATATTTTATTACTTTTATTAATTTTTGCTAATATCCAAAATATGTTTACTAAATACAATTTGTAGTGGGATAAATTTGTGGTAGTCTATTGGAAATTCGGTAAGTGGTGTACAGTAATTTTTAGGTGTATTGCACCCTTTTTTACAACTCGGTGTCAAAGTTTGTATTTGTACCTGACCTGCCATATAAGTCGAGCCCTAATTATGAAAAGAAAAAGATCTTTTGGCTTGAAAACTCGACTTGTATGCAGCAATTTACAGTAGTGTGTTCCTTTTGTATTTACTGCTGTTATATCTTTTACTTCCCCTTTATCTTCGAACATAATGTTTTCTTCCATGATCAGTATTCCAAACATCATTCCGTCACACCATATCTCTGCTACTTCAATCTGTGACGCAACTGTTCAGCTTTCATTGCTATATAGAAATGCAACCGTCATATAAGAGTTCAGCACATTTTTTCTTCGTGTCCACAATTATTTCTTATCCTTTCACAACATAGTCATATTCAATTGCGCTTTCAGACTTCTCTGTCACACTGTCAATCTTCTGTTATTACACGATCCAAATAGCTGAATTTCTGTATTTGTTTAATTTTGATATCCCCCAAGATGTAGCTCACGTTTTCCGCTCTCCATTTACCTCGAAATTAATATTCACTCCTCTTTCTTCGATACTAACCTGTCTTGTAGTTCAGTTTTCATTCGGAATCGTTACAGTGTCATCTGCGTAGCGTATGCTGTTAAGGTATCGTCCGCCCATAATACAACTTGTCAGGTTCATTGATTATCTAATTGTGGAAGAATGAAAGCTTGTATTTCGAGGTGAGATGCTGAAACCAGGCATAGCTGATCATATACGGAGAAAATTATCAATACTAGTCTGTCAGAAGTAATAATCACGGACAGAAGAGGTACTGACAGCCATTTCTGTAAATGTGGCATGAAAAGAATGCAATCTACGAACCTCTACCGAAATTTCTCAGGCCAAATTTAAACGCTTCGGGAACCGTACTGTTTAAAAAAGTGGTCACAGAATGGCAACAGTTATTGTCCGTCTTTATAAAGTGTCGTTAAGAAGATTTGGTTTGGTTTGTTTTGTTTTACGGCATATCGACCTCATTAGGTTATTTAATGCCGACAAGATTTTTATTGCTATTAATGTTTTGTTTTTTGTTTTTTTTTTAAATGTAGTGCTGGTAATATTTTTTTCAAAAATATTTTTTCAAAAATGTAGTCCTGGTAATATTTTTTTTCAAAAATGTTCAAAAAATGTAGTCCTGTTAATAAAATATTTTTTTTTCAAAAAATGTAGTCCTGGTAATATTTTTTTTTCAAAATGTAGTCCTGTTAATATTTTTTTTAAAATGTAGTCAAAAATGTAGTGGTAATATCTTTTTTCAAAATGTAGTCCTGGTAATATTTTTTTTTCAAAAATGTAGTGCTGTTAATATTTTTTTTTTCAAAATGTAGTCATGGTAATATTTTTTTTCAAAAATGTAGTCCTGGTAATATTTTTTTTCAAAAATGTAGTCCTGGTAATATTTTTTTTTCAAAAATGTAGTGCTGCTAATATTTTTTTTTCAAAAATGTAGTCCTGGTAATTTTTTTTTTTCAAAAATGTAGTCCTGGTAATATTTTTTTTTCAAAAATGTAGTGCTGGGAATATTATTTTTTTTTTTCAAAAATGTAGTCCTGGTAATATATTTTTTTTTTCAAAAGTGTAGTGCTGCTAATATTTTTTTCAAAAATGTAGTGCTGGTAATAATTTTTTTTTTCAAAATGTTTTGTCCTAGTAAACTATTTTTTTTCAAAATGAACCTGGAAACACCAGCAATTAATATTTTTTTCCTGATTAAAAATGTATGCCTGTTTATCTTCTTACCCAGGACGCGGATGTAATTTTTTTTCAAAACGGTGTTAAGAAGTTTTATTAAATCCTGGTCGTCCATTTTTTTACCCAAAAAAGAGAAAGCGTCATATTTTTTTTTATCTTAACGTTTCCGCCATTGTTTGTAGCATTTGTTAACCGTTAAACAATCTGGAACCTGGACCGGATTCCTATATTTTCTTTCGCAATCGCTCTTTCTCTTTTCTGTTTCTTGTCTATCTCTCTTCGTTCAAATGGAATTCTCAAGTTGGTTACTTGCAGTTTTCCTCTGCTTCCGTAGACATCGATATGCCCTGAGAGTGTTAGATTCCCCACAAGAACAAAAATCACGGGTGGAAAGTGGCCGAGGAAACAACGCGATCGCTGATTCGCCTGCACTAATACATATTTCATGAGAGTTGAATCAATGAAACAAACTTAAATGCTTATTCATTCTCTCTAATAAAATAACAACCAAAGTCGAAAGACTTTCTTTAAAACGGTCCCGTTTGAACAATTACAACGATGTTTCTTTTTTTTTTTACGTTATTGTTAATGTAAATATAAACATGGCGTTTGCTAGACAATTTTTCGTCGATAGACTCTGTTTTGCCCCTTTATAAGTCTATCATGTTACAGTTTTTTGGATACATGTCTGTACTAGTGAGCCAACCAAAATGAGCTGACTCATTTTATAGTTCACCAATAGAAGGGTTAACCAATCAGAAAGCTCAAAATATTCAATGCGACGTGTATAAAGGCAGCCATTTTGTTTTTTCTCCCAAAATATCTTCACTGACAACCTGATATCGAAGACTTAAAGAATTACGTAACAGCCGCTACTTTCTCTGAATCTTATCTGCCAACCTCTGATATTGAACACATTACGAACTTCACTGGATTCCATATTCAGAGACTACGACAAACATGGTCAACATACCATTAGTCCGTGCATTGAATGTTGCTACTGCATCTGGTTAGATTCTTCTGCTAATGATCTAGATATACAAAGACACTAATCTGCACTAATGTCAGCCCAGATCTGGCATCTAGGCTTCAATCACTTTTACCCTGCCCTAATATAGATCCTCTTTATCTTTTCTATAAATATCTTTCATGAAAATTGTTCTGATAAGCTTTCTTCTTTGGCACATTAAATGAAAGCGTAGTGCTCAATTGGCAGATAGGTCTCATCATGTTACCGCCAAAATTGTTAGATATCGCCATAATTCCTGTTCTAATCATTATTTCTCTTACATTTCTTCTGTATATAACTCTCATTGTTTTCCTGTCAACTACGACCTTAAGTTCTCGAGATTTTAATTATTCTTTTAAACTTTGCCGTCTTTTCCTTTGGTTTACACACAAACCTACACATATTTACCTATTTTGTCTATGTTTAGTTTTCGTTGTGTTCTTCCTCCCTATATGGCAGTATTTCCAAACGATCGCATGAAGGTATCCACGTTATGACATCGAAACATAAGCTAATTAATAAAAATATGTCTATTATTATACGAAGTCTACGCTTAATTAGCGTGCTGTGACCAGCAAACTCACAAGCGACTTAACGATCGGCTAGACTAACTTGTTTAGCATTTCTTGCTGTAAAGGCATCTGTATGTGTGTCTCTTACTGTGAGTCGATATTCAGGTATAAGGTCATAGGGAGATGTAAATACGAACCAGAAATTCTAGCAAAAATGGTATCACCCAGCGTGATTCTGTATCGACGCCACTTGTGTTCGTACCAGTCTAGCCTAAATGTCGATATCTGTGCCGATCCCACCAAAACCTTAGTCTACAATTACTACTCTTCTAATTAAGGATTGCGAAACTCACTCCAGGCTCGAAGAAGATCGATTTCTTTTTCTCTTTTTTTTCTGGCCCGCGATCGATCGTCAGTCAAAAGTTTCAGGCCTCAGCTGTAGTGTTGGATCGGTTCAAACCAGCCGGATTAAATGTCACGAGATTGAAATAAAACTTTGATTTGAGATTCGGATCAAAAGAGCTTGCCCTTGTCGATCATCTGAATAGCCATGCCTTATATCTGCGATTAGATTTCAACGTAGTTTTTTTTTTGTTTTTGTTTTTTAGTTCTAAATATATTTACTGAAAAGGGTAACAATTCAATTATTTATTGTATTTATTTATTTATTTTAGCGAAGTGAAGTTTAAACAAAACTGCCCTTTTTATTTTATTTATGACTAGCAGTAGAGCCGGGCGTTGCCCGGGAATGTAACAGTAAGAGATAGATCAAGTATCGACCATCATAAAGACTGAAAAATAAAATTGACAAAGATTATTGTTTAAGGTTGACGGACACGCATGTCTTAATTATTTTTTTTTTGTTTTTTTTTACGAATTGGTTAAACCCAAACTCAAACAAAAACATTGTTTTCAATCGTTATGAGTCTACCGAATTGAATAGACTTTTATTATAAACAATTGTCTTGTAAATGGAATTTTTAAAGCATTCTGAATGTAAAAATAAAGAAAAAAGTGTGCAAGACAATAAGAAACACTACCTGCCAAAAAAGTGAAGTTTTGTTGAAATCGGTTGAAAAATGTAGGAAATCCGATCCCATATATAAACGAACACACACACACACACACACACACACACACACACACACAAACAACCTGGGTTTTATAATAAGTATAACTCGATATGAGTTGTCCCCCTTTCATTCTCGTGATGCCTCTTAATCGTGTTTTCAAATTGATTTTGCGCAAAAACAATTGTGTTTTTCCAATTTTTGGCGCTGTCAGAACCACCGCAAGGTAATTTTACGTAGTCCTGTCAAGTTTTGTTGAAATCGGTTGAAAAATGTAGGAAATCCGATCCAATATATAAACGTACACACAAACACACACACACACACACACACACACACACACACACGCACACACACACAATCTGCGTTTTATAATAAGTAAGATAATTGATTTTTTTTTAATCTTCACTGGTGTTCTGATTATATTTGTAGCTATTATTGTTGTTTATAGTATTATAGTTTGTACTGTATTTACTTAATGCATCTTCCCACTTACGACCATATCACGTTGAGCCACCGGTTCCCGTACGATAACCAAAGTTAAACAACGTCGAGCCTGGTCAGTACCTAGAAGGATGATCGCTTGGGAATAACAGGTGCTGTAAGCTTGGATGTGCAGGTGGTGCAAGAGATAATGGCTCGGAATTGTAAATCGGAGAGTCGAGTTCCAATTTCTATTCGTTATATTCACTTACGCGCAAATACCCTTAGGAAGGGGAGGAATCCACCTCTTCTCTCCTCAGCTATGGGTTAATTAGTAAGACTTTCATCATTAAATCATTATTAACTAAGAAAAACTTCTTACTAACTAAAAATATTTTCCGGGTTTAAATAAACTGCAAAGGGTTGATAAGCCGTGAAAAACGAACTCGTCAATTCCGATTTTTTTGCTTCTTTGCTATTTTTTCGGCATTTTGTTTTAGTCTTTTCTTATCTTATCGCGATCTTTACACACACACACACACACACATATATATATATATATATATATATATAATCTTTTTTATATATAATCTTTATGAACCCCCAAAATAACACTTTCAAAGTAAAGCAAAATAACAGCGTCTGTTTCTAGCCTTTTTTTTTTACAAAGAAATTTAGTGACATCTTCTCTTCTCTTCTCTTAACTTCCTTCTCTCTTTTTCTCTCTATGGGTTTTTTCTTCTCTACCCCTTCGATTTCAATATATAACTTCCGTTATGTTAACCGTTTAAATGTGTCAATATATCTGCTAACTCACTCATGTCTTCTCCCCTCCCCCCCTCACTTCCTCACTTCGTTAATTTACATATTTTTAATACATCCCGTCAAAAATGTGTAAATTTTCTTTTCATTTTTTATTTGGATGTAAAGTCTGATGATCCGCAGTTCTTTAAAAGGGCTATGGTGAAATAATTTATGACATGGAACCTTAAAATGGTCTGTTTTTATTTAAATTATTTGCTCTGAATTTACATTGAGCTCTCTGGATTTTATCCTCCTTAGGTTTACCCATACGGATTACCTAGTTTTTCATAAACTATATATATATATATATATATATATATATATATATATATAAGTTCTGATATATATATATATAAGTTCTTCCCATTTTCCCTCTTTTTATTCTGCTTTTTACTCTCTTTTCTATTCTTAATTTCTTTTATACTATGTGTTCACAACAAATGAGTGGTTTCCACTGCAGATCAAGCAACACTAAATCTTTATTCTCCATTGCCCTCTTTAGTATTCTTCTTGATTTTAACTCTGCTGCCGTCTGGTGGTTCCGAATATTGACTGCATCGCGCCTCAGTTCCCCAGCACTTTCCTCAGTATCTCACTAACATTAGTAATACCATCGTTAGGATAGTTCCGATCCCAGTGTTTCCGACCTCTTTGCAAGGCTGTTCAAGACTGTCCCCCGCCCGACAATAATGAGAGATACTACTAAAGTGCATTTGGAAACAGACAAAAATGAATACATCTTTTCATAAAGAATAAAACTAAATCCGGCAGTAAGGCTTTTGATCGCTAGCTTTTGAGGACTGTGGAACCACCTCTTAATTACTGTTGTTCTTAGGTACAGCCTGACCCGGTGTGATTGAACCTGTTAAATTCATTCAAACTGGGATCAAAACAATATAGATGTATAAAAATAGATTTTCATGGTAAAAATACCAGCAATACATTTTCGAAAAAAAATTACCAACAATATATTTTCGAAGAAAAGTTACCAGGAATACATGAAAAAATGATCTACAAATTGATTTCTTACAAAGAATGCATATTCTGTTCATACGAACATATCGTTAAAAAAATGTCGGCATTAAATAAGCCACTAAGTTGTTAATAAAACAAAATAAACCAAAACAATACAGGCAGATGTTATAAAATTAACTAACCAAATCCAACTCTTTATTTTATCGCTATGATTCTACATACAATATCTATGAACCTAGAACTACATAAAATATTACCAGCAATGCATTTTCGAAAAAATATTACAAGCAATATATTTGACTCTCGGCAAAACACCTTTTTACAAAAGTAAGTCAACGAAACCTGTTCTATAAACTGATTTCTTATACATATTCTATTCATATCAACCTATCCTAAAAATCTTGTCGGCATTAAATAACCCATTGAGGTTGATATCCCGTAAAACAAAATAAATCGAATAAACTGGACAAAACTGGCAACAAACTCTTGAAAATGTTATTTGATGGTATAAATGTTAAATTTATTTCAGAAAGCGACTTTTTTCTTCATTCTTTTTCGGTAATTTAGTTATTCAGTAATCGTGAATTCTGTGATATCCGCGTATATGTATATTTTTTTCAATCTGTGTACCAAGTTGTCAGGATAATCAAAGAAGTGTTGAATTTTGTCTTGTTCGAAGTCCCTTGAGAAGCAGATTCAATTAAATCGTCAACCACGACGCGTCTTCTCCATTCTTTACTACTGAGTGAGAGGGCAGCACGCCAACAAGTTGAGGCTGAAGTACAAATATACAAAGTTGAATATACCCATTCTAGCATCCATATATACCGGGCACATGCATCGCAGCCAAATATGCGAAACATGGTGAGAGGTTTTGATAGAAATAGAAATACTTCCATGTCGGGTAACTCATTACGCGCGGACGATTTCCGATGGAGGGTTTTTCCAAATATATAGATATGTCCTTCGAATTACTTTTGCTTTCACATCTTACAAATTAGTATGTGGTATCATCTTGCCAGAATGTAATTTTAAGTGTCTAATTATCAAGTACCCTGTGCACTTATTCATAGTAAAAAGATCAGTGTGGGAGAGTTACCTATGCACATTTGGGACGTTTCTTTAAGATGAAGAGGGTTTTGCAGATTATATGTGCAGTTCCAAACAATGTAATCTTTTATAGCATTGAGATGCTGATTCTTATCACAACAGGGATAATTGTAGTTTTAAGTTTTCAAATTTTTGTTTCTTCAGGACAGACTAGCAGCATGGCCCGGCGTTTCCCGTGCTTGATTCTTTACACACACACCCATCCTGCCTTATATATATATATATATATATATATATATATATATATATATATATATATATTAATAATCACACATAGAATTAATCAGAAGTATCAATGCGATTATTGACGACATCCATCGTTAGAAAACATAATATATGCATTAAAATCCTGTTCATCCATAGTGCGAGTTTTGATCCTTGAAGAAAAACTTGTTGTCTGTAGTTTTTCTGTTTATTTGATGTTAAAATGCTAGTACTTACGGACAGTCTTCCATCCATCATCAGGCATGTGTTTTTTTTTGTTTTTTTTTTTTTCCCTATAAAATCAAAAACTTGAGACGATATACCTGTATGTCGACCGAAAGATGTTTTTTGAATATCTGCTATTATTGACGGTTGTAAGGTATCGCAACGTGCAAAGACGCAACGCTAAGTTTTTCCAAATTTTTAAGTGAGAATTTTATTTAAATATTTCTTGTGATGTGTTAAATCCACGTATTCTATTTTTACAAGTGTATTCAGTTTTTATGTCATGAACTAAGTATATAGTTCAATAATATAGTGTAATGTCATAGTAGTAATTTTTTTATAGGAATTTTTTTATGTACTGCGGATGTCGTCAATAATCGCATTGATACTTCTGATTAATTCTATGTGTGATTATTCTTTGTATGTAAATCATATGCTGCCTAATGTTTTATGTATATATATATATATATATATATATATATATATATATATATATTTATATTGGATAGATGTGAGTTTTTGACCCTGGGTTTCACGCTTTTAGATCGTCAGCTGACGATCGCTCAAGGTGAAACCCAGTCACAAACTCACATCTATCCAACCAAATATGTTATTCTATCTCTGATATTGAGCGCTTTCTAACAAGTACCGCATATAATATATAAATAATTATACATATATATATATATATATATATATATATATATATATATATATATTGTGTGTGTATTTAGGCAGCATTTTTCATTCATACATGTTTCATTAAATATTATAGACAAGTGTTGTCTATTTATTTTATGTAAATTCTTTTCATAACGTCTGATAAGCTTAATAGCATTATCATTAAACGAAGAAAGAAAATCACAATATTGATACATATTTTTTCACCAATTATAGACATTTAATCTCCACAAATATTCTTAAATATCTATAATTGGTAACATAAGCCATTGGTTTATACCAACGGCTTCCCATACTTAATACTTCTCGAATTCATTCTCGCGTGGTCATGTGTGACGTCATGAGCTGCGGTGCGATTTTCGCTTCCAGCGTCTTATATGCACGTGTTTATTGTTCCTTGGAAATCATCCATGCAAGCAGAAGCAGACTATCATCACATTCTTGTCTTCCCTAGACCGTTTATTTATTTTTTGTGGGATTTTCTTTTAATGAATATAGAGAGCTTTTTTGAGGACTGCCCTCGGCGTTGTTGTCTTCTTGTTCTCGTTGGGTATAGTTTGCAGACTTTTCAATCCTAGTCTGCATCCTCACTGGGGATCACACTCCTTGTTACCCGCGTGATAACCGATGCGGTTTAGCAGTATTTTTCCTTGTGTCAGCATTATTGTTAGTTCGTATTTACCCATACGTGGAAGCTCTTTTGTGGGCGCCAGAGCATATCTATACCATGGCAGGACATCACATTCGTGGGGCCAGGACTCCTCCTACTATTTTTTTAAAAAATAATTTTACTATTTTTAACAAAAACAGTAGAATCTTCATTTATAAGCATTCGGATCCCCAAGTAGACACAAGGCGTTTCATAAAACTCCGACATAACTTCAATTATCAACGGAATTTTATTTGACTATTTCTTTTTTCTCTCTTATGTTAAATAAAATGAAACTATTTTCAAATCTACATAATCCTGTTATAAACGAATATATTTTACCCATAATTACAATTAAGATATATTTATTGTTAATACTTAAAGAAAAGTTTATTATGAGTTTAAAGAAAAGTTTATTATTATTATTGTTGTTGTTGCTGTTGTTGTTTTCTCTTATTCCGCACGTTTTTCTTCTGATTAGGTTATTATCCTTATTACTATTATTTGCACTGATTGACCTTTCAAGGGACTAATA